GGAATAAACATCAACTACACTGTTGAAACACTCGCCTTGCGAACAGGATATGCATCCTAGAGTCCATTTCAGGACTGTGGAAACCAGAACTAATCACGCTGAAATGAAAAAGCCGAGAATTTACATGCGGACGGTGGCACAGTGCCGTGAGGAATGGCAGACGTCTGCGCTTGCCTTGCCGTCGTGCTTTCAGCGCTAAGACGTCATATACTGAAAATCTTTACCGAGACGCCCCCCCCCCTATATCTCGAGGTTATCAGGCAAACGCTTTGCTGTACGCTGAGAGTGGCGGTTACTCAGGCGTTTTCAAGGGACTTCTACTGATCTTTTTCATGACGATATTAGCCCAGTGCTGTCTGGTACCCAGATGCAGAAGGGGTCTCAAGATCAAGCGCCTACCTCATTGCTGAAGTAAAAAAAAACTGCATCAGTTCACCAGAAACCATCAGCTCCCTAACTTGCAATTGATAGCAGCATGTTGTATTTGCTTGGTTAAATGTTATTTTGGAAGCGAGCATAACTCCAAGCAATGCTTTGTAAACATTGAATTAGGTCGCAGAATGAACCTTTTCGAAAGACACGATCTCCCTTTACGGAGCAAGTCCTAACTGTCGTCGATATGAAAAATTAAGTTTTGAAAAACGAAAGCATATAGAATGTGTTTGTAAAAATAACTGATTTGTGACAAACGTCTATTTTAACATTCTCTAACATTTTATTCTGCCCTATGATTAGAAAGATCAGAGTTACATGAGCAAATCAAAATTGGTGTACGAAGAAGCAGAACTGCTGAGCAGAATTGTTCATCCGAATGGAGCGTACGATGTGACATTTTTTTGCAAAGGTACGAGTTCCGATCAGTGGAATTTCGCCCATGCGCAAACATGATTTGCGGTGTATTTAGGTCAAACATAGGAAGAACACTGATTCCAATTTGACTAAGTAAGTCAAACTAAGTTTGGTCCGGTTGGCACTTGCATGTACAGTGCGTGACCTATCTCATGAAATGTTGGCTGAAATTCTGAAATACGTTTTCGATTAGGAAGGATTACTTGGTCGCGGTTGTAATACTAATTATCTTAAGGCATATTCTTATAACATTTTGGACTTGGCAGGATGTGGGCTTTTAAATGCATTTCTTTTCAATCTCCCGTAGAAAGCGTGCTCGGTAAAAAATGACTACTTATGTAGCATGCATTTTTCCTATTGATTTTCGATGGTCTTGGAAATTCAAATACATTTTATAGAAACCACAAACAAAAATAAGCTTTCTTTTAGTCAATCAATAGAGAACCACGTCTTCTTTAAATATTATACTTAAAGAAGGAGTATAATTAGGTTTTTAAAAGTTTCCAATTATGAGACTTTTTAAGACCTCGATATGTCCATTCACATAGCATCGTACCTGGCCGTTTACCACTGCTCCTCATGAAATGTACAAAATGGTCCGCATCCATTGCAAAATGTTATGCACCCTGTATGATATCTCTTTAATGACACAGAAAAATATGGGATTTTCTTTCCGCGGAACGCATGCACCTTGTAGAGTGCAATCACTGAGCGCTTAAGCAACGAATGATCAGGCTCCAAATTTTTCGGCAATTAAGACACTTTTTTAAAACCTAATTATACCAATTCCTTAAGTATAAAATATAAAGAAGACGTGATTCTCTATTGATAGACTAAACGAAAGCATATTTTTATTTGTGGTTTCTATAAAATATATTTGAATTTGCAAGACCATCGAAAATCAATGAGAAAAATGCATGCTACTTAAGTGGTCATTTTTTACCGAGAACGCTTTCTACAGGAGATTGAAAAGAAGTGCATTTTAAAGCCGACATTCTGCCGAGTCTAAAATGCTACAAGAGTATACCTTAAGATAATCAGTATTACAACCGCGACCAAGTAATCCTTCCTAATCGAAAACGCATTTCAGAATTTCAGCCAACATTTCATGAGATAGGTCACGCACTGTATGTGCAGCCGTTACAATCTGATGCTGTTTACCTATCCATCTGAGTAAAAATATATTCTGAAAGACCAACTTATGACTTAGTCAATATATGAAATTAAACCAAGACAAAGAACGCGGAGTTTCTCACGAACTGTTTTTCAACGAAGTTAAAAACCTTAAGATATTGAAGAGGTTAATTTAGGGATGGAACTAGTATAACGACTGTTGTATGATCTCCATATCCTACACATTGCCGTCATTTATTTCAAAAGGAAAATTTTGAGAAACAAATCTAGGAATGAGGTAGACATAGGTAAGCTGAAGCAACAAATCCGTGCAATGAATGTGGCCACAGATAAATGTTAAGGAAATCCTTTAAGTAAAAATGGTGTCGGTGGTCAACGTCTTTGCGGAGGTGCTTTCCATACTATTGGATTGTTTTGTACAACATATTCGTTGATGTCATTGTTAGCTTATCTACTGCTGCTCGTTGTCCTGATCCTTTGTGCGCGGACCTGGGATGCGGTGCACGCCAAGGCGCGGGTCCGCGTCATTTTAGCCGCCAAAATAAAATGTTGCCTCTGGTCTTCTTGATTATGCCTTGACAGTGGGCTCGGGTAGGTGAGCAGGAGAGAGTGTGGTAGGTACAGTGCAAGTCTGCCATCCATTTAAGCCATCCCATGCGTCAGTCATTGTTACTGCACCCATCCTGTTGTGCGTACATGATGGCCATCTTCGGAAACAACAGTCATACTTTCACTGCTGATCCAGGTGACAAATTTTGAAAGTTTTATGTAACGTATGTTGTTCTCATAAAATAGTGTCTTATTATTATGTGTTCTTTTTCTTATCATAAGTCTTCTGCCCGAATTTCGCTGTTTATATCTAATGACCAGCTTAACTTATGAAAACATGTTTAAATTTACAAGCGGCACGTTCTAAGAGCCACGCACTGAATAGGTTCTTTGATTTCCTGGCAGTTCAAAATGCAAAATCGTGTTCGCCAATTTACGTGTTAAGGAAGATGCGATCGTGGGGCATTCTTGGGGTTAGAACTGACCAATGTCTTCCATGTGCGTGCAAAAGAAGGAAAACTATAGAGTTATTCTGTATTAGAAGCTAAGACTTCTATAAGAGATTGCTGAAGAGTTGGCGTGGTACCATCGCTTTTAGAGGGAACATAACGCTGGAAAGGAAATTTTCTTATTTTCCGAGTAGAACCAAGTTTGTTCATCGCAACCAGCGGTTCCAGTATGCAAATGTAATAAAAATTTAGTTTTCTAAATAGATTCGTTTTCTAAATGGACGACGTTGCCGGAAAGCTTTTTTGCGACGCTCAACCCAGTCGCATTAGCGAAAGAAGGAAAGATTCAGAGAAGCTGACAGCTTTTCCAGGAGGTTTTGGTCGATTTTTTTTCGCCGGCCCCTAGAAGCCAGCTTCTGGTGGGAGTGGTCTTCCGTCGCCTGCTTCCTGGGTTTTGTTTTCATATTTGACCACGCCTCTTGGTATCTGTTCTGGTCCATCATTGTGAACAGGTTTATACCACTGAAATTGCTAAGATTGCGTTAAGCCAGCACTCGCAGAATGGTAACCAACTTCTGTGAGATTGCAGAGGAGTTTGGGTGTGTCAAAATGATGTTCTCTCAGTAATCCCATCTAACCGAATACCATAATCAATACTTTAGTCACCTTTAGGAGACCAGACAAATATTAAATTGAAAAGTCAAATTGGCTAACACGCGTTTTCGGTAACTTTTCGTCAGGCCAATACAATTACATGAAGGAGTGAAAATGTAGAAAGTAAACAGTGTTTTTAGGTGTCGCAAGGGCAATTAAGTTATTAACACTCATCATCTTCGTTTCTAGTGCGTTGAAAATGTGCTTGGTCTCCGACGAATGCACCAAAATTAATAACGTATGCCTGAAAATCGACACCCCCAGATCAAGAGCAATTGCCTTAGTTTCCAATTAGAGATATCTTCTGGGACGCCGTAAACGGCGAAATTACCCGAGTGCATGGTAGTTTTGCTGCTTTGAGTTAAAATTCTTGCCAAACTAACAATTTAAGGATAAAACCCAGTTGACCTTAAGCAACCGTGGGTTCCGATAATAAGGCCTCATATAAACCTCTGTAATTCCCATCAGAGCACTCCAGAGATCACTATGTGAGCAGAAAATGTTTTGGGTCAACGCAATACACCCAAATTACCGTAAACTTTGTCGCATATAGAGGAGATGATGCTTATGCTTCATTAACTGCTCGAGCAACCTACTACAAATATGGTCAACAGCCCTACCGCCCAACCCGCCACTCATTCTCCATTAACCGTGATGGTCTCTGTTTTGGGCGAAATCAGCCTTAAGCAGTAGAGTTCCGGAGTGTCATCTTAATATATCTTAGTTCTTGTTGGCGACAGCTTTGAGACGACCAACTAAAGATGTGCCTGGAATTGGTTAAAACTGACCCTACTCGTTTTCTCTAAGATGTCTATTGCTGTCTGGCAATGCCGACAGACAGTCATTTACGATACCGACTGAATCAATAAGTAATTCCATCGCACGCCAAAACATGCGGGGTGCCGGATTAAAAGTTTTGGCCGTCCAAATATGTTTCAAAGTCAATTTTGAAAAAAACAAAGTAGGCCAGTTCATGCAGTCGAATTACAATATGACATATTGCAGTCTAACAACCAAATCAGACTTCGATGAAATAATGTAAGTTCTTTGTTTTGCAAAAAAGTGATAAATATTTAGGTCACTGTGCGTATTCTGAACTTTTTGTTTGTTGACGGCGTTGTGGTATCCACACAGATCTGACGTTACAGTATTCCAACCTTTTACGTCTGCGACGAGACACAAATAAATTCATATTCGGCTGTTGATCAAATATTCTGAGCTGTTGCATCCTGTGGCTGTAATGCTAGTGTTGTCCACGAATACGGAAGGAAATAATTCAAATGTTTGCGGATGTCCTTACAAATTAACTCATTACACCTGACCAGGGAAGTCTTGTCAGTTGACAAGTAAGTAGCCTACGCCGCATCATTTGTACACCACCACAGGTTTCATTCCGTGTTCTGGTGGGGGAGCTGCCTGTTTGGCGTGGGTCTCACAGTACAGATTATCATTGACGCAGAAGTAGCCTACATTTCGCAGACCGATTCCACACTTGCAACACTTTAGACACTCTGGATGAATCGGCACGCGACCTTGAACCTTGACAAAAACACCGCGAATGAGGTCTCCACAAGCGCAGCATTGCATGCGAGCACCAATCGGACCTCCTCCACTCACTGGTCGGGCACTCTGCGGGTCCGCGCCGGCAGCTGCCATGGTATTATTAAACGAGGTGTTTATGTGCTTTTGGGAATAGAGACCCATTGGTGAATTGTATGCGGAATGACCGAGACTCTGCACACGACCTTCGGCAGTCTGGGTCACTAGAACCTCACCGGGGTTGGGAGGGGCAGGGCTAAACGGTAAAGGATTGACATTATGATTCACCCCAGGAGAAGGCCGATTAGACACATAATCGGATTTGAGATTTGCGCAGTTAATCGACGAAGGTAGAGCGTCCTGATATGTCCGGGCTTCGCAGAGGGCTGGAAGTTGTGCCATGTCTACTTGTGGACAGGTTTGTCGATTGGCAGTTGCTGAGGTCATGGTGACCATGGAGGGGTAAGTACCGCCCCTTTCAACGGTCAGCTCAAAGTCGTTGCTTGACCTTATTATCTCCATCTTTGCGGCCTCATGTGTCAGGAAACGCGTGTCCACATTGTTTATGCGGAGAATAATGTCGCCGGGGCAGAGTCCATTCCTGTCTGCCAGACTTCCTGGGAATACTCTCTGTATGTTCAATGCGTGCCCAAGATCGACACCGCCCTCGAGTCGGAAACCCCAGGGGGTGGAGCTGTCTTCGCGAAGCATCTTGATAACAACGATCGACTTAGCCATTTACAAAAGACAAATTCCTCTGAAAAAAATCGAGAGCGGGCAGGTTGACTATAGAAACTAATGCCAAAATCGGCAGCCGTAGGAGGTGGTATGGATGCGCGCGGAAGCACTTGTGCGGTTGCTTGCCCATAGGTGCACGCAGACACCATGCACACGTACTTCAGTGGACCAATAAGGTTACACCTATTGCTGTGTACATTAAGGCTATCAAGCAGCGGCCGACAACTAATCAATGCAAAACCTCCGACGAGTACTGATTGGTTAGGCACATGCCACAGGTAACGTCGTGATATTTTATGCTGTTAAAAGTGTAATTTTTAAATGTTGGCAAAGAAGTCGTTTAAAGTATAGCGAGAAACCATTTAAAAGGTCATCAAAATACCTAAAGTATACAAAACACACGGTTAGTAAAGCAAAGGAAGACCATAACTTTCAGTCTACAGGCTTAAAAACACCTTAATAATAGTAACTGCAACGCAAGAGCGGCCAATACGTTTAAGCACAAAACGTCAACACGCAAGAAACAACGTCCAAGAGGAAATTTAACGTGATTAAAGGGAACCAAGCGAATGAAAATAGTGTGTATTTCGCGCCAAACGGATAGTCTATTTATGGCTCTATTTAGGCACCATTTATCACAGGATGGGCCATCTTTTTATCTTTGACTTGTGAATCAAGCTTAGCATGAAATATTAAATAGCGATAGAGTGTTTACCCCTGATCAGTAAATCTTTCCTGACTGTAGCCATCAAGTTGAAAATGCTTATGTCAAATTGCAACGTTAACAACGTTTATTAAGATGAATATAATAAACTGGCCATTTTTGGTTTCGCGAAGCGGAATACAATTGATTTTGAAGCCACACTCTCCGTAATTAAGCGGTTTTTCAGGCGAGTTCATTGTGACACCGGAAATTGAATCGTCTGGAATACATAATAGTTTTTATTCATGTCGCTTGAAGTGAACGATAAAGATACCAAATTATCGGTACTGAAGGTTTGATAAACTTTCAGCGCACGCCGGCTCTCACAGGGGTAACTGTTGCTTGAAGGTGTAAACCAGTCCTTGGGTTTCTTCTGCAGTAGCTATTAAATCGAGGAAAAATTTTCGGTATGGTTTAAGAAATAAAACTGCCGACTAGCTGAGTTGTCATGCTGTGGATTGGACAAGACACCCCATGTTCCAGTAATGAACGCAGGTTGACAATGAAGCAAAATAATTTGAAGGCATGGAAACCCGTTAGGCTTTCCTAAGCATTTAAAGGACGTTTCTAATATTTTTGGGGGTTATTGACAAAAACGGTAACATTTTATGACTTAAGTTGCCAAGAAAATTAAAAGATATCGCTTTCTTAACTAGACCTACGTCCACATTGGCCTTTAAACTGGCGAACCCTTCGTTGGCAGAATCTCCCTTCGTCTCCAGCCGCCTGACGGATTGGGTGGTCGATGCTATTTCTTGGGTGTTTCTATGAAGTTTTTGTTTCCTTAGTCGCTTTACTCCGCAGTCAGCGCGTTTCTGATGCCATATGCACGTAACGAAAAGAAGCATCAATGCGCGTTCTTCTCCATCCGTCGTGTTTTAACCCTTTGAAATGATATGATCAAGAGACTACTCGAAGTATAAGAACAAATTCCACTCAATGACATGACAGGAACTACGCACTGAAAATAAAGTTCATTTTTACCCGTCAAAGCTCAGAGATAAAAACGTTAACTATCTCTGTGTCTATGCATTTAAGTGTAAGGAGGCGCGGGAGTGGCTTCAAACCCCTCCACTGTTGAGGATAAAGTATGCATTAGGCCAAGCCATTGGGAGCTTATGCAGTTAAATCTACCCTTGCGCTTTGCGGCAAGGCTATTTAAGCATTCATGAGATCTCGACCATGACCGCATGACGTTCGTGGAGAATTTTTTCAGACGCAGCGACAAAGGAACACATTGGCAACTGATGAACTATTTTGCAGAAGCTAGTAACGCAAATTATTCATCCAATTTTTGTGTTATCATGTTCACTGCCCTTTTTTAAACCCTCATTTTTTAAACTCCTTACCGTCTCCCGCAATCGTAAACGTTTTTCCAAGGCTAAAATGGCCACTCAACTGTTTTTAAGAAAATCACTTAGCAGGGAATCCTAATGCTCAACGTTGGATTCACAGCACTTCAAATTCACCTCTAGCCTCGCAACTAAGTTAAGCCTGATTTAAAAACATGAACCTGCTTAATGGCTTAACGCGTGAATACACACTGCAAATAGAGGCCTGAGGGATGAATACTTGGTGAAAAAACGTTATTTTCCCGTTGGTCAGGGGATAGTTAAAGACTTTGAAAACGGATACCGACATCTCCGAGTGGTGTAAGGCGCCAAAACAGCGCAACCGCGGTCAGGTGCGCCGACTATATTGTTTTAGGCAAAACTCTTTAACATAGTTTAAAGTTCACTATCGGCATTTTTGGATGGATCTTTGTGCTAAATGAAAGATGATTAGAAGTTCAGGAATTAAGATTTCCAGCTAAATTTTAAATTAAATGCACACCACGTGCTACTAGATAACATGGCTTCGGCTAATTTCTTAAATGGGCAAAATGTTTATCAACCAAAACTTTTTCCTACTGTATGAGAAATTGTTGACTTCACGCGCCTGTAGTATAATAGTGATAAAACTGGCAAGTTAAACGAAAACCAGAAGAACGGATCCGGTGTATCCATGTTACCCTGCTTGACCATTTAACTACAAAGGCAATCACAGTGAGATTAGGGATGAACGCTTTGGATAGCCATCGTGGAGATAGTATAGGGGAAAAGCATCCGAGGATTTGTTCCACAGTGATGGTCCCTGTGAGCTATATCGAGTAGCTTGCGTTTCACACGTCCGCTTTCGCCCTGTTTGGTTGATATTTTCGCGTTTTTTATTCTTTGCAGTTTTAAAATTATCTCCTATTTTACAATTATTCTCCATGTTTTATGATATTTTCTATTAAAATAAGCCTCAGTGCACCCCTGGGACCTTTGCATATGTTTTTGATAGATTCTATATAACGCCAAAATATCTAGACGGTCAAGACTTTACTAATGGTCACTGCTAGTAATCGTTGCTTACGCAGTGTTTGGCTTTACTCATGAAACATACTGACGGAATTTGTGGTATTGTCTCCGTGCACCTAGAGCGTTGAGCATTTTACATCTCGCCTGACGTCTTCCGGAAAATATCCCCTTTCATACGGAAAATGTTCCCGAGCAATTTTTTCAAATAAACCATTTACGAATTTCAGCTCAGACCAGCATTACGTAATACTCGAGTAATTTTAGACTAAAATAATTCAAACAAGGCTTGTGCACCAGTGCAACCTGAACTGGAAACTTTTAATATTGTGTGTCGCTCATGTAAAATCGAAATTTATGTTCAGCGGAAGTCGGATGAATCGGGATGCAAAACACACGTTTTAAGATTCAAAACCTCAAATTTTCATATTTATGCGATGCTATGCCCCAAAACGACTCAATAACACTTGCAAGAAACCCTGGCCGTTGAGATTACTTTAAAAGTAAGCGTGAAAGTGTCCAACGACAGGTGATCATTTGTATTCTTCAGCACCTGGTAAGATGCTTTGTTTGCCGTTTAGTTAGCGTAAGTTAGAAGCAAGGCTGGCAATAATTGTGGGTTTAAACGGTATTCCGACATATGTATGCACCTGGAAAGACATTTAGAATTATGGAGTTAAGCTTAAACGTAAGCACAGATGACGAAAATGGCTCGATTTGTGGAAACAATTGTGTGTTCTTACGTTGGCAAAAACTAGCAATGTTTAAGAAGTTCATGAAACGGGCCGCATGTTATATTATTCTAATTCTTTACGTATAAAAATTAGAGGTTTATGGAACGCCGATGGCTAAAGACCATTTTAAGGCGTAGTTTAAATGGAACAGTCAAAAGAGACGAGTTTCAATCAAACAAGGGCATATTAATCCTAAGTAGTGGTTATGGAAGTTCCTTTTTTGTTGACGAGGTTTTATGCTTGTTTGGTATACAAACAAGGCCCAAGTGAACATTTACATAACAAACACGCCCAATAATTTACTATAGCAGTATATGCCTCCACAAAATATGTTATTTTGAAGGTTTCAATAGACTTAAACAACAAAACCCATTTTTCGGCAATCTAGTGAGCATACAGAAGGCCGCAAAGCTTCCGACAACACTCCGTAACTCAGAAGAATGTTCTGTCACCAGGAAACCGCGTAGTAATTCTGTCTGAGGAAAGCTGTCTCGGCAGGAATAAAATTGTACATTTGAGACAAGGCCTAATAATTCTTCTAAAATTTATTATACACTGAGAAGTTTCTTAACATGTGATCCTACAGAAACGTTTCGTCTTGACAATTTTCCACTAGACGAAATTTTAATCCCGACAATAGCAGCATCTTGATCTATCGACAAATGCATTAAACTACTGCAACGGCTCATGAAATACATGAAAAGCGTCAGCTGTTTGATTGTGTGCCATATTTACAATAACATTTTTTACATAAGACCACATATATTGCAAATATATGTAAATAACTTTTAAACGCTGTCATAATTTTTGCTGTTTTCCTTTATCGTTTGTTTGCATGAACGCTTTTACCCATTTGATATGAAATGTCATGTTTTTAACACTTTTCTTTTCCCCTAAGAAAGACGTTATTTCAAACAAAGATAATTGTGCTTCACATAGTTTTTATGCGTATTCGTTTAAATGACGGTCTTTCTCTATCATTTTTGCCTTTTCATGGGGGAATTTTGACTGGTTTCCATTTGGTAAGAGAACTATTGGCAACTTAAGCATGTTGCACGAATTGAGGCAGGTACCGTATATAATCGGTTTTTTCACATAAAAAAATCGGAAAAAAAGTTGGAAAGTCGGAAATGGACTATGGTTATCTTTATCCTGAATATTCTGCTGCGCACGGCCGTGTCACAGACCGTTGTCGGCAATTTTGGCCTATATGGACAAACTTGT